AGTGTAGACCAACTCTGAAAGAGAATTCAAAGAGCAACCAACATAAAGACTAAATTTGAATTATGAGGCACTGGATTTGAAAAGTAGTTGTTTAGCCTAGCAAACACTAGAAGAGTATTATTGTCTTCAAGTACATGAAGAATATTGTAAATCTGCAGAGAATGCTGTTCAGAGTGAAAATCACATTCTAAATTCCCCTATAGCCTCTAAACTCTGAGGTAACACTTAGATTGAGTGCTGTCATGGTTCATTAAGCATGGCAACTCCATAAATGTTTAGCATGGAGATAGGCTACAAAGTGTGGGAGTGGGAGGGAATTGAAGGTTAAGCCCAGAGAAGGAGATTGGAGAGCTGGAGAAACTTCATCTAGTGGAAGACTTCTGGTCCTTAGGAGGAAAAAAAGTCACTGAAAGTGGCAGAAAGGTATTGTGAAGTCGGAATAGCTGAGGTCCATGCCCAACAGCAACTTGCAATTATACTTTAATCACATCACCTAGCCATGCTATAGCATAGGAGAGATCGATGTTTTTCCTACTTTGAGAAATACACACATGTTAAAGAATCCTAATATAGGGGTGCCTGGGTGGCTCAGATGGTTGAACGTCTGCCTTTCTCTCAGGTCATACTCTCCAGATCCTGGGAATGAGCCCCATGTTGGGCTCCCAGTTCAGCAGGGAGTCTGCTTCTCCCTCTCTACCTTTCCCCCTGCTTGTGCACACACGCTCTCTCGCTCTTTCTGCCTCCCTCCCTCAAATGAATAAATAAAATCTTAAAAAAAAAAATCCTAATATATTGGGGCTTTCCCAGTAGGGAATAGTGCTATTATTTAAACAGATTGGTCTTGGGGCACCTGGGTGGCTCAGTTGGTTACGCGACTGCCTTCGGCTCAGGTCATGATCCTGGAGTCCCAGGATCGAGTCCCGCATCGGGCTCCCTGCTCAGTGGGGAGTCTGCTTCTCCCTCTCCCGCTCTCCCCCCTCTTGTGCTCTGTCTCTAAAATAAATAAATAAAATCTTTAAAAAAAAAACAAAACAGATTGGTCTTTTTCAAACCTTTTTGACTAGGATCCATAGTAAGAAATATATTTTCTATTGCAACACAGTATAACACAGTATTTCATTGCATCTAAGATGTTTTCAGTTGGAAGTCACAAATGCTGCCAATTTTTTTTAAAGATTTTATTTATTAAAAAAAAGATTTTATTTATTTATTTGAGACAGAGAGACACAGTGAGAGAGGGAACACAAGCAGGGGGAGTGGGAGAGGGAGAAGCAGGCTTCCTGCCGAGCAGGGAGCCCGACGCGGGTCTCAATACCAGGACCCTGGGATCATGACCTGAGCCGAAGGCAGACGCTTAACCACTGAGCCACCCAGGCACCCCAAATGCTGCCAATTTTTAAGATTCTACTGACTATAGAACATACAATTTAGAGATGATAAAAGGAAAAAAATAAGTCCTAAAATTGGTGAAATATAATTTGTATGTGAAGTACTGAAACAAAAGTGTCAGAGAATAGTATTTTTATTACCTATGACAAAAATTTTCATAGCTTGCTAATGAATTGCAGCAAGCAGTTTGAGAATGGTGATTTAGAAGTCAGTGACTGTCAAAATGAGGTTCTAGATCAAAATAAATGCATCCTTTCCCTAGGGCATAAGAGCATAGGGTGTCAACCTATACTTGTCTAGAGAGGCATTCAAGCATGCCCAAAGCTTACTTTTTTTTTTTTTTTAAGATTTAATTTATTTATTTGAGAGAGAGCATGAGCCGGTGTGGGGGGGAGTGCAGAGAGAGAGAGAGAAAGAGAGAGAAGCAGACTCCCCACTGAGTAGGGAGACCGATGCAGGGCTCGATTTTGGGACCTCAAGATCATGACCTGAACTAAAGGCAGACGCCCAACTGACTGAGCCACCCAGGCGCCCATCCCTTAGATTTTAGTAATAGGAAAACATTTTTTCTTTTTTTTTTTTAAGATTTTATTTTTTATTTTATTTATTTGACAGAGAGATAGAGAGAACAAGTAGGCAGAGAGGCAGGCAGAAGGAGAGGGAGAAGCAGGCTCCCTGCCAAGCAGGGAGCCCGATGCGGGGCTAGATCCTGGGGACCCTGGGATCATGACCTGAGCCGAAGGCAGCCGCTTAACCAACTGAGCCACCCAGGTGCCCCTTTTCTTGGTCTCCTTGATGAGACAGAACTATACCATTGACAGGAAGCTCAGAGCTGGAATTTAACATTTAAGTGTGATCTGCCTTTTCCTCAGCTGATCCTTAATTTTCTTTGCTTTAAAATGTCTCAAGTATATTTTCAGAAATAAGTAGGGGGTAAATGATCAGTAAATAGGTTTTAGAGCTGAGATACATACACAAATCCATTTAGCTTTAAAAAAAATTGTAAAATATACACAACAAAAATTCACCATCTTAACCATTTTTAAGTGTATAGTGGCATTAAGTACATTCACAGTTGTGCAACTATTACCATCCTTCAGAAATTCCCATCTTGCAAAAACTGAAACTCTGTACCCATTAAACAATAACTCCATATTCCTCCCTCTTCCCCCACCCCACCCCACCAATCACCACTCTCCTTTGTCTTTAGGAGAATCTGACTACTCTAGGTACCACATAGAAGTGGAATCCTAGGGGTGCCTGGGTGGCTTAGTTGGTTAAGCGGCTGCCTTTGGCTCAGGTCATGATCCCTGGGTCCTGGGATTGAGTCCTGTGTCAGACTCCCTGCTCAGCTGAACAGGGAGTCTGTTTCTTCCTCTGCTGCTCCCCCTGCTTGTGCTTTCTCTGGTCCAATCTCTCTCAAATAAATAAATAAAATCTTAAAAAAAATAAGTGGAATCCTAGAATATTGTGTTTTTGACTGGGTTATTTCACTTAGCATAATGTCCTCTAGGTTCATCCATGTTGTAACGTGTCAGAATTTGCTTTCTTTTTAAGGCTGAAAAGTATTTCACTGTATTTATATACATTTTACTTATCCCATGCATCTGTTGATGGACACTTAGGTTGCTTCCACCTTTTAACTACTGTGAATAATGCTACTGTGAACATGACCCTTGAACAGGGTCTTTACGACCCTGCTTTCAATTCTTCTGGGTATATACCTAGGTGTGGAATTGCTGGATCATACAGTAGTTTTTTTAAATTTTGGTGGAGGTAGCTGTCATACTGTTTTCCATAGCAGCTGTACCAATTTACTTTTCTACCAACAGTGCATAAGGGTTCCAATTTCTCCAGTCTTGCCAACATTTGTTTTCTGTTTATCTAATAATAGCCATCCTAATAGGGGTGAGATGGCATCTCATTGTGGTCTTGATTTGCATTTTTTTGAGGACTAGTGATGCTGAGCATCTTTTCATGTGGTTATTGGTCATTTGTATATCTTATGCAAGAAATATCTAGTCAAGCTCTTTGCCCATTTTTTAATTGGGTTGTTTGGGGTTTTTTGTTGTTGCTGTTGTTGAGTTGTAGGAGTCTTTTATATATTCTGGGTATTAACCTGTTATTAGATACATGGTTTTTTCTTCCATTATGTGAATTGCCTTTTCATTCTCTTGATTGTTTCTTTCACCTGGTTCTTACCTTAGGAAATACAAAAATCTATTTCATAAATAAAATGAGTGTCATAAAAATAAGCTTCAATTTCATATTAGGAGCAGAAAAACAGAGATAGTACAGGAAGATAGGGAGGAAATGAAGGCGAAGACAATATGAAGATACAAGAGTTATGGAGACAAAGGCAATCACAAAAGTATATAGTTCTTAATATTTGTGTCAAATATTTTTATCCCATTTAATTATTCACTTAAGTTTTAGTTTTGTCATCTATTGCCTTTAGTAATATTCATTCATTCAGAAAGCATGCCCTGAGTCCCTACAACTATGACATTGCAAGCATTCAAGAGGTTTATATTTTGTTAAGAGATTAAGGTAAGACAGATATTAAAAATTAAGGTAGAATGAAAGAAGTGCAATAGTAAAAGTATTGTAAAGAGGGAGCCTAAGAAGAACAGGTTATTTTCACTGTGCGCTCTCCAGGATAAGCAGCTCTGCCAGCTCAGAATGATCTAGTCTCTGTTGGTGACTTCCTAGTATTTCACACAACTTCTGGACAGGGTATTCTTCTAGGAGTTGAAATTTCTGAAGTGAAAAAGCCATGGCTATTCTAATCTAGGTTGAAACTAAAAAATGACCAAATATTTTTAAAAATAATAAAATTCAAACTCTGGCTACAGGAGGTAACTTCACAATTCAAGGTTATAATGGCTTAATTTAGCAAAAGTTCCAATCTACAATCCTCCCTTCTCTCTCCCTGAACCGATGATTTTACAAATGCTTTGTGCTCCTTAGCTCTTTCCTCTTTTTTATTTTGGTGTTCCTGTTGAAATGAACTTTAGTGCCTAGTTTTTCTAACTACCAGGCAGTGTGGTCTGTGGTGGGTAGAGGAAATCACAAGTGTGGCCAACTTCTGTTGGAGGCTGACTATTGTCATTGTTGGGGGAGATTTTTTTTTAAGATTTTATTTCTTTGAGAGAGAGCACAAGCAGGGTTGGGGGGTAGGGACAGAGCGAGAGAGAGAAGCAGACTCCCTATTCAGCAGGGAGCCTGATGCAGGGCTCGATCCCAGAACCCTGAGATCAGGACCTGAGCTGAAGACAGACACTTAACCGACTGAGCCACCCAGGCACCCCATTGGGGGAGATGTCTATGAAGTACATTTTTAACTGATTTTTCCTTTTTCTTTTTTTTTTTTAAGATTTTATCTATTTGAGAGAGAGGATGAGAGGAGAGAGAGAGCACATGAGAGGGGGGAGGGTCAGAGGGAGAAGCAGACTCCCTGCCGAGCAGGGAGCCCGATGCGGGACTCGATCCCGGGACTCCAGGATCATGACCTGAGCCGAAGGCAGTCGCCCAACCAACTGAGCCACCCAGGCGCCCTTAACTGATTTTTCCCTAGAGCATGATGGTCTATAGCATTCTGGCCAGCAGAACAAGAAGGTAAGTAAGCTGTTTTGGAACACTTTTTAAGCAAGGTAATTTTGTAAAAGTTAACACATTTTAAATTATAGATTTAAAGATCCTAAACCAAAAGGCAGAACCTAAAACAAATGTTTTCCATCATTTTTCAGTGAGTCAGTTACTATTATACTGGAATCACATTATAAAACTTAAATTTCTTAATATGTGTACTGTCAACTAGGCCCAAATTACAGCCATCAAGAACCTTCCAAAGCATTTAAGAACTTTATATTTCCTCAAGATAAATTTCAATCATTAAGCACCCCAAAAGCACCACTGCTTTTACTCTTGTATTTAACCAGAAAAAGTTTTTTGTTGTTTTTTTTTTAAAGATTTTATTTATTCGTCAGAGAGAGAGAGCACAAGCAGGGGGAGTGGCAGGCAGAGGAGAAGCAGGCTCCCTGCTGAGCAAGAAGCCTGATGTGGGACTCGATCCCAGGATGCTGGGCAGATACTTAACCGACTGAGCCACCCAGGTGTCCCCTAACCAGAAAAAAAGTTTTAAAACAGTGATTTCCCTTCCGGTGCTAAACAGGTAGTGCAAAATGGCCTTTTTAAAATGTAATATAGTATTGTAATCAATATTGCCTCTGTAGTAAGAATTCTTTACCACTTTTTGAAATTACTAAATCAAGTATCAAAAAGAATTCATCATTGCTAAATGATCCAGCATTACAAATACTTTTTACTTGCTACTGATACTGACTACTTTAACGGAAAGACTAAAATTAGATGAAACAAATCCATGAAAACTGAGCTATATCCAAGTAGCCATATCTGATTATAGCAACAAGCTTTTTGGCTGCCTCTGACCCATAATCAGGCTTAACACATAGATCTGTTTCCAGAGTGACTTCAGGGCCCCTGGTATGGTCTTAAGTATCTGCTTTGGCCTGAAGCTGACATGGGAACTTCTCCTTAATGATACCAGAGATCCGAGTTGGCATTTCCAGGAACAAGGAAGGCTCTCTGACCCACTTGTCTGTATTCATCCTCTAGTCTATACAGAAAGGTTAAGGTGAACCAGCCAGCCAAAGGACCCAGGTGGTCATCCCACCCTAAACTTTGTGACAACATAGAATCGAAGTACTGAAGAGGAAGAGGAGAGCCAGCATCATTTCAATTTTTCTGTCACTTCTGACTTAAAACAGGGAAACACTAGTCACCAGTTACTATGGATTTGTCTTTATTGTTTAGAAATCATGGCCATAACAGTTTCGTAAGAAAATACTGTATGATATAAAATTTACCTTTATTCTCCCTTAACCAGGTTGCCAAAAAATTTTCTGTATTGTGGATCATAGGAAAGTATGATCATTTCCAACCTTTCTATTTTACAGGGTTTTCATTAATGTTCAAAGATAATTACTGGTGAGAAAAAAAAGATAATTACTGATGAGGATTTCCTGCAGAAGTATAGGAATCTCAAAAGTCAACTTTCACCCTACATACTATATTCCAATGCTGGAAATCAGCTGAATGATTCTAGGTGATTTTGTATAGTTTAAAATTTGTAGCCCTAAGAATTTGGGGGCTTTGAAATTGCCTCATTAACCAAGCAAAAGACTACTAACTTTCAAAACAGTTTTGAACATAAGACTTTCACTTTGGGGGTACCTGGGTGGCTCAGTCGTTAAGCGTCTGCCTTCGACTCGGGTCATGATCCTGGGGTCCTGGGATCAAGCCCCACATCGGGCTCCCTGCTTGACGGGAAGCCTGCTTCTCCCTCTCCCACACCCCCTGCTTGTGTTCCCTCTCTCGCTGTGTCTCTGTCAAATAAATCAAATCTTAAAAAAAAAAAAAAAAAAACAAAAAACTTTCACTTTGGTAACATTTAATGGACAAGGTCCTTATAAGTAGGTAAATCTGCAAGCTGAGATTTTTCTTCAGGTTTAGTTGTGGGTCCACTATTATCTCCCTGATGAACACTGCAGTTATATTAATAGGCTCACTGTATTAGAGCACCTAAGAGAAAGAGTATAAATGAAGACTTTATAACTTTTTTCAGATACATAAAAAAGCACAGTTATGGTACGCCTGGGTGGCTCAGTCATTAAGCGTCTGCCTTCGGCTCAGGTCATGATCCCAGCGTCCTGGGATCGAGCCCCGCATCGGGCTCCCTGCTCAGCAGGAAGCCTGCTTCTCCCTCTGCCACTCCCCCTGCTTGTGTTCTCTCTCGCTGTGTCTCTCTATCAAATAAATAAAATCTTAAAAAAAAAAAACCAGTATAATCTCTGCCCTCTTCATAAATTAGTGACAAATCCATAATAACCTAGTAAGTTTATTTTATTATTTTAATAGGTGCTAAATATAAATACTTCTTATACCCTATCTATACTCTTGTACTACTTAAAAGTCTTCTATAAATATAAAGCTATAACTGTCTCTCTTCAAGGCTTTCTGTATCACATAAGGACTGATTAGCTTTGGGCAATTCATTCATAGCCATCTGTCTTTGCTGAGTGGTCTTCACAAATCGAAGCAGATTGATGATGGCAGCAGGTGTCACTCCAGGTATACGACTAGCAGCTCCAATCTAAGAATTAAAACCATAAAACATAAGTGAGCTATATCAAATCAAATCTATTTTGCTCCTAATAATCTGTATATTATAGTTTATAAAATATTTTCGGAACTTAATGTATTTTCAAAATAACTATAAAGTAGATAAAGGGAATGTGATTATTATTAATACCTTCATTTTACAAATTAGGGAAAATGAGGCTCAAAGAAGTTAAAGCGACTTGTCAAAGGTCATGTTATCATTGACGGAATCACTCTTCCCTTTAAAAATAATTTTTTTCAAAAAATTTTACAGGTTATATTTTTGTTAAATGCCTTTTATTATATGAATCACCACTAAAAAAAGCCACTGTCCATTACTATGATACATCATCCATTTTTAAGATACAACTCAGTTGCAGAAATGTTAAATGGGCATCTCAGAATGGATAAATATAGCCTATTAGTCTTTAAATATTTGTTACTAGAAGTCCAATACTATATACCATATAATAAAATTTTTAATTTGTTTGCAGACATTTACAGACACACATACACACACAGTTAGACAGAAGCATGGGGTGAAGGACCTTTTTTTTTTTTTGCTCCCTTCTTCCTCCTAGTAGCTTCTAAGCCAACACTATGGAACTCCTAGGGAGGGAACCAAGCGGTGATTTGAAAACCACTCACATGTATTAACCTAATGTGCTTTCTTTTATGTCATGCATTATACTAGTTTGCACTGTGGTTTAGCACATAGTTGGGACTAGAGAATAATTTTAATCAACTCAATTCTTCTAGTTATTTATTTAGACTATGGTTTTTGGTCTCTGAAAACAAACCAACATCTGTCATACAAAGAGATATAATTATGAAAATAAGAGGTTAGATTTTTTATGATGAACTAAAACATTAATTATGTGACCGCTGTAAATCCAGGTTTAAAAAATTAAAGCACCAGCTCTTTATAACCTGCTCCACTGCCTGGTTTCTTACCGTTTCTGGGCGACTGAAATGTAGCTTCTCTCGAACTTCATAAGACAAAGACACATCTCTGAGGGTTAAATAATCTAGGTCTTTTGGCAGTTGGAGCGCTTCATCTTGCTGAACTTCGTTTATTTGTTGTTGCTGATGGAACAACACTGATTCATAAGTGGCTGGTGAACAGAATTAATTATGTTATGACACTCAGAGTATATTTACTTGTGTTTTTATAGCTTTTTACAATTTACAAAAAACTTTTGTATATATTATGTCATTCAACACTTTTCCTAACACCAGGAGATAAATGGGGTTAAGTGTTCCCTTTTGGGGCGCCTGGGTGGCTCAGTTGTTAAGTGTCTGCCTTCGGCTCAGGTTCCTGGGATCGAGTCCCACATTGGGCTCCCTGCTCGGTGGGAAGCCTGCTTCTCCCTCTCCCACTCCCCCTGCTTGTGTTCCTGCTCTCGCTATCTCTCTCTGTCAAATAAATAAATAAAATCTTAAAAAAAAAAAAAGTGTTCCCTTTTGTAGATGAGGAAGTTGAGGCTAAATGAGAGCGGGAGTATCTTGCATACCAATATAGCATTCTGTTTGATAGTTTACTGCATGTCCTTTTCATTTCAAAAATCTGGAAAATTGGGGCACCTGGGTGGTTCAGTTGGCTAAGTGTCTGCCTTTGGCTCAGGTCATGATCCCAGGGTTCTGGGATCGAGCTCCAAGTCAGGGTCCCTGCTCGGTGGGGAGCCTGCTTCTTCCTCTCCCCTGCCACTCCCCAGTGCTTATGCTCTCCCACTCTCCCCTCTCTGTCAAGTAAATAAAATCTTTAAGAAAAAAAATCTGGAAAATTAAGGGGCTCCTTCCTGGATCAGTCAGTACAGCACGTGATTCTTGATCTCAGGGTTGTGAGTTCAAGCTCCATGTTGGATGTAGAGATACTCAGAAATTTAAAAAATCTGGAAAATTAAGATACTGCTTTTCCTCTCAGTGCAAATTTTCCCTCTCAGTGCAAACCCTCAATAGGCTGTGGTTTGGAATGTTAGGCCCTAAAGATCAGCTGTTTCTTTAAGAAAATGGTTTTCAGATTATGTCCATATAAAGCTATAATTTTTATTCATTATTTAAAAAAAATTTTTTTTTTAAAGATTTGATTTATTTATTCATGAGAGACAGGAGAGAGAGAGAGAGAGAAGAAGGCTCCCAAGGAGCAGGGAGCCCGATGTGGGACTCGATCCCAGGACCCTGGGATCATGACCTGAGCCGAAGGCAGACGCTTAACCATCTGAGCCACCCAGGCGCCCCTAAAAAAATTTTTTTTAAAGATTTTATTTATTTATTTGACAGAGAGAGAGCGAGAGAGGGAACACAAGCAGGGGGAGTGCAAGAGGTCGAAGCAGGCTTCCTGCCAAGCAGGGAGCCTGATGCAGGGCTCAATCCCAGGACCCTGGGATCATGACCTGAGCCGAAGGCAGACGCCTAACGACTGAGCCACCCAGGCGCCCCTAAAGCTATAATTTTCAAAAGTAGAGATTTTTAGATGTAATACATAATTTAAGGTTTTATTCAGAAGTGAAGTTAGGATAATTTAGCAATTATTTTGTATAGCATTCTGTTCTTAGAAAATAAACTTAAAACCTGTTTTAAAATCTAAATTGAGGTGGTTACTGTATTCTGTTCAAGGAAGCCAGTCTTCCCTAAAGGTTTTGGTAACATTTGCTTCTGTTACTTGACTAGCAGAAAATCTCAGCTCGAAGCCTGGCCCTACCAATGAATTATCCTCTAACTATGGGCAGGTCATTATCATTCTGGGCCTTAGCTTCTTTTTACCTTTTTGTTGTTGTTTTTTTTTTGTAAGTAGGCTCCACACCCAGCGTGGAGCCCAGTGTGGGGCTTGAACTCACAACCCTGAGATCGAGACCTGAGCTGAAACCAAGAGAGGGACACTTGACTGCCTGAGCCATCCAGGTGCCCCATCTCTAGAAATTGTAAGGGCTGAGTCAGATGACTTCTGATGGTCTTTATGGCAACAAAAAGTTGTGAAGTGCACAGGCCTCACAGTTAGACAAGCTAGGTTCAAATTTCCAGCTCTGCCACTCACCAATTGTGTGATCTTGGGCAAGTTACCACTTAATGTAAAATTAAGACAATAATGTTAATACCTATCCTTCACAGAACAATTCTAAATACTAAACAAAATACTGCATGTAAAGGGCTTAATACAAATTATAATATGACAAAGTAGCACAAAAAACTGTAATATAATTGTATGACTCATAAATAGACCCCATAGAGGATCATGGAATATAAATGAGAGATAATATATATTTAAAGGTATATTTATTTAAACTTCCAAATATATATATAACAAAACCTGAGAGAGAATACAAAGAAGAATCTGAAGTTGATTTCTGCCATCAAGAAAGTTGCTATTTGGGGCGCCTGGGTGGCTCAGTCGTTAAGCGTCTGCCTTCGGCTCAGGTCATGATCCCAGGGTCCTGGGATTGAGCCCCGCATCGGGCTCCCTGCTCAGCGGAGAGCCTGCTTCTCCCTCTCCCACCCCGCCCTGCTTGTGTTCCCTCTCTCACTATGTCTCTGTCTGTCAAATAAATAAAATCTTTAAAAAAGAAAGAAACTTGCTATCTGGTGGCGGGGCGGGGGGGGGGGGGGGTCCATGTACTGATTTGAGAATCACTGATAACAGTCTGAATGTTTTACTGAATTTTTACTCAGTAGAGAAATTATGATGTTGAAATAAAAGGTCAACATTCTTTCTTTTTTTTTTTTTTAAGATTTTATTTGTCAGAGAGACAGAGAGCACAAGCAGGGGGAGCGGCAGGCAGAGGGAAAAGCAGGCTCCCTGCTGAGCAAGGAGCCCAATGAGGGACTCGATCCCAGGACCCTAGGATCATGACCTAAGCCAAAGGTAGACACTTAACTGACTGAACCACCCAGGCATCCCTGTCAACATTATTTCTCATACATTAGTATAAGTATAGTGTTTGGTCATTTGGAATAATGATTCTAGAGTTTTGTTGAGTTTCTCTTTGGTGCTAGACTTCTGTTAACTTGCATGGTGGGTGATAGGTAGCACTTGGGTCACCCTGTATGTATAGCCAAAGGATAGCAAAGTGATAGATCTCTCTGGAACTGAAAGAAAATGCCATTGCTAGAAGGAATGCAGCATTCTTACAACCTTGGCTGGTCTCTAAGGAATTTAAAGTCCTTTTCCATTTGAACAATACATCATTATCCAACTTTTCCTACCCTTCTCCCCAGCTCTTTCTGTTCCCTGCCTTTTTCTCCACATAATTTGCCACTCCAGGAAAAAAACATCTATCAAAATGCAGAAGCTGATATTATTTTTTATGTGTGAAATTTTTCATAATAAAAAACTTAAAAAAAATAGAGTACAACTACAAAGTCATCCATAGCATTGATGGTCAGTACACTGACCAAGAGTATAAGAACACGATATATGTTACAATGTACCAGGGGCAGGCTCAGATTTGCCTGATGCAAAATAAGTATTTTCATGGTAGAGTATTCCAGTATATTGTTGTTGTTGTTGTTGTTTTTAAGATTTTATTCATTTGAGAGGAGAGAGAGAGCTGGAGGGAGAGGAAGAGGGAGAAAGAATCTGAAGCAGACTCCACGCTGAGTTCAGAGCCTGACACGGGTCGATCTCACCACCCTGAGATCATGACCTGAGCTGAAAACAAGAGTCAGATGCTCAACCGACTGAGCCACCCAGGTGCCCGTATGCCGGTATACTGTGAAAGCCAAAGACAGTATTATTTTTCTCATCGTTAGAACACTAGATGAGGAAAATGTAAAAGAAAGTTTAAGGAAAAAAAGTTTTGTGTTTTTTTGGTTTTGGGGGGTTATTTTTGGTAAACCTTATAGCATTTCCCAAAACTTGAAATGTACTCACAAATTACCTAGAGATCTTGTTAAAATGAAGATGCTTATTCAATGGGTCTGAGGAAGACTGTGAAATTCTGTAATCCTAACAAGCCCCCATGTGTTGCAATGCTGTTACCCTGGGAACCCCACTCTGAATAGCACAGAGCCTAAGACTATGCTGGTTCTATGGTAATAATAGCTCCTCCTAACACAGAGTTCTTTCTCAATGAATCTGCTATCCATTCATAATTTGCACAAATGGAAAAGAGAATGTATAGGCATGTAAGTAAAAAATTATTTTCTACCTTCTATTTTCAGTCTTTCAGCTAGCTCTCTACATTTAATGTACTTCTTCAAGGGCTCTGGAATAGCCTTGGCTAACAACTTCATGTCAACTTCTTCGTACTTCAGAACATCTAGAGCTCTGCAAATATACAAAAGTTTCATTAGCATAGGGGTAAAAAAAAACAAACCCAAAACAAAACATAGGGGTCTATATCATATAAGCCAGATTAAGAAGAAGATTCCTTGGAAATAATGCCAAATCTCAGAATTAATACTAATATCAAAAGATATACTCCTAATTCTTTCCAAGCACAGTCAGCAAATGCAGTAGATTTGCAACACAGGAGAACCTCAATAATACTAGTTTGTAATTCTCCCCAACTCCTCTCCTTTATTATGAGAAATAAGTTGTTGGTAAAGGTTGCATTACTATAATCCTTTTGTCCTCCCTTTCTTGTAAGGACAAAATATCCTCTGATAACAAGGGTTTGAATTCCTTAAGAATTTACATCTAAATCATGTTAAGCCCCATGTCCTGTGAAGGAGTCATCCTCTTGCATGCTCAAAACCACCTGAAGAGCTCTTTCTTGCTTTTGCAGAACTCCCCAAATAAGAACAAGAGGCCCCTCCCTGTATGTTTTTTTTTTTTTTTAAGATTTTATTTATTTATTAGAGAGAGAGAGTTAGTGAGAGCAGGAACACAAGCGGGGGAGTGGGAGAGGGAGAAGCAGGCTTCCCGCCGAGCAGGGAGCCCGATGCGGGGCTCGATCCCAGGACCCTGGGATCATGACCTGAGCCGAAGGCAGACGCTTAACGACTGAGCCACCCAGGCGCCCCCCCTCCCTGTATGTTTTAAGGTTCTGCAAAACAAACTGATGAAAATGATGGTCAAGGGTTCCTATGTATTCTTCCAGTCAGTTATTTTCTAATTTAGTATAATCTCCATTTCAATTTTTACTGATTGGGAACTTCAAGGAGCTAATTCTCAGTTCTACTTCCACTACTCTGGTTAGGCTAAGGCCTCCTGAGCCAAAGCAAGGGAAGAGGAGAGCAATCAATACATGCAGCTAATAGAGACAATTGCTAAAATTCCCAGGCAACTTACATGGCTCACCAAAAGAACATGCCTCAGTATAAATGCTGACAGGTAGATCAGATGAGATTTGCAATAACTTGACTGACTCATTGACACCTGTTAAGATCCAACTAGAGAGAGAAACTTCAGGTATGTTTCATCTCCAGAAGTTCTGGTGCTCCTTTGGCCAGTTTAATCCCTTTCGTACTGATCTCAGATTCCTTCTTGTTCTCAGCCATCCCCATCCCCTAATCCTTCCCTAAGGTGAAGTGAACCACACCAGTTGTTGCTCTGTTAATTATTACTGACATCAGTTCATGTGACTTTTTTGGTTATAACTTATTTAAAAGGAGAACCCTCCTACACTGTTGGTGGGAATGCAAGCTGGTGCAGCCACTCTGGAAAACAGTATGGAGGTTCCTCAAAAAGTTGAGAAAATAGAGCTGCCCTATGACCCAGCAATTGCACTATTGGGCATTTACCCCAAAGATACAAATGTGGTGATCAGAAGGGGTACGTGCACCCCGATGTTTATAGCAGCAATGTCCACAATAGTCAAACTATGGAAAGAGTCAAGATGTCCATTGACAGATGAATGGATAAAGAAGATGTGGTATATATATACAATGGAATATTATGCAGCCATCAAAAGGAATGAAATCTTGCCATCTGCAGCGACGTGGATGGAAGTGGAGGGTATTATGCTGAGTGAAATAAGTCAATCAGAGAAAGACATGTATTATATGACCTCACTGATATGAGGAATTCTTAATCTCAGGAAATAACCTGAGGGTTGCTGGAGTGGTAGGGGGCAGGAGGGATGGTGTGCCTGGGTGATAGACATTGTGGAGGGTATGTGCTGTGGTGAGTGCTGTGAATTGTGTAAGACTGTTGAATCACAGACCTGTACCTCTGAAACAAATAATACATTATATGTTAAAAAAAAAAAAAAGATAGTAGGAAGGGTGAAATGAAGGGGGGGAAATCAGTGGGGGAGACGAACCATGAGAGACTATGGACTCTGAGAAACAAACTGAGGGTTCTAGAGGGGAGGGGGGTGGGGGGATGGGTTAGCCTGGTGATGGGTATTAAAGAGGGCACGTACTGAATGGAGCACTGGGTGTTATACATGAACAATGAATCATGGAACACTGCATCAAAAACTAATGATGTAATGTATGGTGATTAACATAACAATAAAAAAATTAATGGGGGGGAAAAAAGGATATTGCCAGGGTAACTAAAAGTGGTACATAATGAGTTCCACTGTTGTCAAGACCTTGGTTCTACTTAGTTGAACTATGGTACTGCCCTTGGCTCACCTCATTCCTGTGGTCCCAAGACTGGGAAATATCCTGCAGTTTCCTTCTCATTTTGTTTGGTTCTCACAAGACTCACTAATCTGTATAATTTCCCCATATTTACTGCCTCAATTCGTTTTACTTCTATTTACTAATTTTGATCTATCCCTCTAATAGATTATGTTTTTGATAAATTCTGTCCACCCAAAATCAATTAAATTAATTATCAAGTCAACAGAAATCCAGATCTGTCCATCCAGGGTTGCCAAGTCTTCCCAGACCTCCCAACCAACCTTCTTTACTGTTAATTACCAGTCATGCATTATCACCCTTTGAGGATGCTTGACTCATTTCTTCCTCAGACCACCTGCTCTATGAATGTCCAGAAATTCTGGGAAGTTCTGCTGTGATTCAAGAGACAAATTAGGTCATCTAATTAATTACAGAGGCCTCATCTCAAGCTATAATGAAACCTTCCTTAAGCGCCAAGAGAGAAATGGCTGGGTTGTCTTTTAAACTACAGAACAGGGTGCCTGGGTGGCTCAGTTAAGGTTAAGTGTCTGCCTTCAGCTTAGGTCATGATTCCAGAGTCCTGGGATCGAGTCTCATGTTGGGTTCCCTGCTCAGCAGGGGTTCTACTTCTCTGCCCCTCCCCTGGCTCATGTGTGTGTACTCTCTCTCTCTCTCTCAAATAAATAAAATCTTAAAAAGAAATAAACTATAGAACATACTGGAACACACCTAATGACTAACCAAAAAAAGCGTTATCTTGGAATCTAGCATGATGGTGACAACCTCAAAGAAAAGACCTTGACCATCCAACTTAAACATTTTTTAAAAATAATTTATTTACAAGCCTTGGAACTGTTCTCAGGTCCAAACTTCAAGACCTGCTTTGAATCAAGCCTAAATCTCAGAGGTCAGAGCTCTGGCACAGAGAGGACAAGTTAGCACACTTCAAAAGAACACAAGAGAAAATCTAACACATCAGTGTATTTCCCTATAATCCTGACAGGAAATGTGTATGCAGTTACTTATGTATCTCTTCCGTTAAAATGCCTGTTCAAAGTCTGGTTCAACTTCTGAGTGCTTAGCACAGAGCCTGACATGTACACAGTAAATGCAATAAATGTATTTTGACCAATTTTTTATCTTTCTAGCTTTACATATCTAGGCATTGATAAAGTGAATTCATTTAGGGAGTCTGAATGCTAGACTGTAACTATTCTGCTGAAATAAAATATGGCGACTGGGACCCTGGTTTCTCCCGAAGGGAAAGATAACCTGAATTTTTTAAAAAAGCATTTGGCTAAATTATTATTTTTTTAATCACCCTAATAAAATCACTCTTGGGATTAGTTTGATAAAAATGTAAAACTGCTAGCCTTTTCATTCATATTTTTATTCATCGATTAGCTTTTTAGACTGTGTTAAAAACAATCAATTACCCCACTGGCAATGTTACCTCATACACATTAGTTACATTTAATGCAAATTCTAGTTATATAAATTTGAAATACATAAATTCCTTGCACAGAGTCTGAAATAATGCGAGCCTTCCTAAATTTAAACAAACACCTGGAATACTGAGTAGATTATAAACTATATACTACTGCCATCTCCCAGTGCCACTTAGCTGGTAAATATATCCACTGTCCTCATTTGTCAATCAAGCTGTCACTCCTGTGAATAAGATTTCCTTGTTTGGGTGACTACTATGCAGGTTCTTTTTTTTTTTAAAGATTTTATTTATTTATTTGACAGACACAGCGAGAGAGGGAACACAAGCAGGGGGAGTGGGAGAGGGAGAAGCAGGCTTCCCGCGGAGCAGGGAGCCCGATGCGGGACTCAATCCCAGGACCCTGGGATCATGACCTGAGCTGAAGGCAGACGCTTAACGACTGAGCCACCCAGGCGCCTCTATGCAGGTTCTTTAACACTTACTATTACTGTAATTTAAAAAATCTGCTTAATATCCTCTAACAGTAGTGTCAGTGCTTTGGGAAATTCCTGTGAAAATGAAAACTTGGGGATAGAAGTTATAAATGATAAGACACCTTGATGAGAGGAAAGTCAAACAAGGACGCATTTTGCCAGGCTGTTAGTCAAGGAGAGAGCATTGGAAGATTAGAGATAATAAAAAGCAGCACTAAAATGGGTACACCTTTTAAGTCCACAAAATCCCGCACAAGGAAAACAGGTTTTTTTTTTAAAAAAAGGAAAAATATAAAAGAAAAATATATTGGAGACATAGCTGCAAAATCAATGCCACCATATTTGCTTCTAAGCTACAATGATTTTAAGATTTATGCCTTCTAGGCACCTCCCCACCTGAATTAGCTTACATTTTTTTAAATGGGAAAAATGAGTGGTGAGATATGCAGATTTTGAACTATGCAAGGTCCTTAGGAACGTATCTATGAAGCAAAGCTCTATATTTATGTCCTTTAGATTCAGAGTCCATTTAACCAGAATGATAAAAGCAAGGACAAAAAAACCCCTAATATGTAGCAAGGAACTCTGCCAGTAAGTCCACAGAATTTAAAATACTCTCTTTAATCAAAGCAGTTTTGGGGGCGCCTTGGTGGCTCAGTCGATTGGGTGGCTCAGTCGTTTAGGCTCAGGTCATGATCTCAGGATCGTGAAACTGAGCCCTGTGTCGGGCTCCACACTCAGTGCAGAATCTGCTTGAGATTCTCTCCCTTTGCCCCTCCCTACCCTCACATGCGCACACACTCTCTCTCTTTTTTTCTAAAATAAATAAATAAGTTAAAAAAAAAGAGGTTTCCAATTACTCCATACTTATAAAAGAAGGCGGATTAACAGTATTTCTTGGTTTGTATCCTCTAAATCTTAGGAAAGCCAGAAGAACTCAATGGGAGCCTCAGAAATATTATATAAAAAAATAATAATAATTTAGAATCATATATATTTTTAATCCTGAATAAAGAGTTGAGTTACATTTAAAGGATTTTGAAAAGAAACCAAAAGTAAGCTAAATTCATTTAAAATACGGAATCCAAAAAATAAAAAAGAAATTAAAAAGGGAACCCACAAGTAATGTCTCTCTGAAACAATCTCACTTTTCTGTAAAGAGTGAGAAAAGTCTATACTAAAAGTACATACCTGAGAGGCAGACTTTTACCAATACTTATAGAAGCCTCTGGAATTAATTTTTTCCATTTAGAACTTGAAAACTCAATGGATTTTAGCACAGAAATGCCTTCTTCCAAAGAAGACTTCATCCAAGAAGCTCTTTCATATCGTTGTTGGGACACACAGCCAACTTCCTTATACCCTAGAAGAGGGAGGGAAAGAATATAATAAGAGAGGTTTCAAGGAAGAGTAAACCTGGTGAAGTAAACCAGTGAAGAGTTACCTCGGAACGTGAGCCTGCTGTCGGCATTATCAGGGCGCAGTGACAGACGGAACTCTGCTCGGCTTGTAAACATGCGGTAGGGTTCGTTGGTGCCCAGTGTGGTGAGGTCATCAATCAAGACTCCTATGTAGCCTTCTGTTCGGCTGACGACAAAAGGAGGCTTCCGTTTGACCCGAAGACTTGCATTGATTCCAGCTATCACACCCTACGAGAGGACTGAAATGTTTAAAAGGCCATTATGAACTGAACAAAGAGCTACCTTAGAACACTACCTGGAAAAAACAGCGTCGGGTATTAAGAAAGCAGGCACTGCCCAGAAGAGAGAGAATAGAGAGAGAAAATGTGATACATACTCAAAAACAAGACAGGTAATGTGCTCCTTTAGAATGCTATGTTTCATTGTTTTCAAAAATATTTAACATTCCTGATAAGCTTTAGGTGGGCTAATATGTTTTTTAAAATCCACCCATAAAACTCTTCTAGCCTTTTCCCACTTACAAGTAAAAATAACATAACTTCTCACTTAAAAGGAATATGATAATTTGCAATAAAGTTATGTTGAAAGAACTAAATTTTCTTTTTCAAAACAATTCAGGGGTGCCTGGCTGGCTCAGTCAGTAGAGAATGCAACTCTCGATCTTGGGGTTATTAAGTGTGAGCCCCACTTTGGGTGTAGAGATTACTTAAAAATAAAATTTTTCAAAATAGGGATGCCTAGGTGGCTCAGCTGGTTGAGTGTCTTCCTTTGGCTCAGGTTATGATCCCAGGGTCCTGGGATCGAGTCCCACGTCTGGCTCCTTGCTTGGCAAGGAACCTGCTTCTCCTTCTACTTGCCTCTCACCCCTGCTTGTGCTCTTTTTCTCTGGCAAATAAAAAAAAAAAAATCTTTTAAAAAATTCCTAAATACAGTAAATCTAATCAAATATGATACCAGACCTAGGAGCTCAGAAAAGAGAATTAAAACCACAAGTGTTTAGCACAGCATAAGGAATACAGTCAATGATACTGTAGTAGGGATGCAACGGGACAGACAGGACAGACGGGACAGACGGATAGTAGCTACATTTGTGGTGAACACAGCAGAATGTATAAACTTGTCAAATCACTCAGCTGTACACTTGAAACTAATGTAACATTGTGGGCCAACTACATGCAAATAAAAACATTAAAAACAAAAACAAAACAAAACATAACCCACAGGTGTTTTTTTAAATTCTCTTGTATATAGTAGCCATCCCTGTATACCCTGAAATAGAAATAAGTCTTCCATTACAGTTTATGAGTTGTATCTAAGACCTATATAGTTATCACAACAGAAATTAAAAGGAGGAACACCAGTTCTTTTCCTGCCCTTTTCTGTTCATAGTAACATTTGAACAACCACTTACTTGAGCTGCAGCTTCCTCATAACCAGTAGTGCCATTTATCTGGCCAGCAAAGAACAGCCGTTGCACCAAATGAGTCTCAAGAGAAGGAGTGATCTGACGGGGGTCTAAGTAATCATACTGAACACCATAGCCTGACCAAAGAATAAATGATACAAAATAAGTAAAAACCGAGCTGGATTTGTCTCAAACTAGAGATGCAAAGATTATCATTAAATGCTCTTGAAAAACAAAGAATATTTTAAATGCACAGATGTTGGGCTTTGTCTTCTGAGGCTCTAGGCAGCTATAACTGTAGCTAAGACCTCCTCACTGCTAAAGCAATGCTGAGCTCATATGGAAGGGCAGCTGTGATTCTCTTTACCTGGCTGAATCATTTTAGCTTTCTCCAAGCCTTTAATGCATGTGATCATTTTCTCTTGTAATTCAGCTGGTAGTGTCACAGATAACCCTTGAGGGTAGATGAGGTCAGAATCCATTCCTTCAGGTTCCAGCCAAACCTGATGTAGACGGTTTGGAAAACGCAAAACCTTTGATTCAATGGACGGACAGTATCTAGAACAGGACAATGCAATTTAAAAATTTAATGAAGCAAACAAAAGAGGGTTGACAGCATTCCTTAAAGTAATGTTTTGTCCTTACCTGGGTCCTCTTGTAGTTTCCTTAATGTGACTATTAAGGTGAAGGTTCTCAAGGACAATCTCATCCACTCTAGGGTTGGTGTGAGTCAAGTAACATGGCAGCTGATCTTCTGGCTAAAATATAGGAACTACTTATAACAATCTTTGCTTCTTTACTAGTCTGTCTTTTACTCAAATAAATTACACACATGATAAGCACTTACTTTTATAGACATTAAACCTATGCATAATGCTGAGTACTACTAATGAAGTATTCTTGCCAAAAACCCAGAAGATGAACCTAATTTAAACAAGACTGTAGATCTACCAGTTTACAAAAAACATAGAAAATGGAAGAAAATATTTAAGGCACCAGACGGGAGAAATCTAGAATGTGGGAAATCCTAGAAATTCTAGAGAACAGATGACTCAGTTTCTTCCACATATAAATGTCAAAAAGGAAAAAAAAAAAAAAGGAGGGGAACTGCTGTTATAAGGCATATCATCCAACTCAATGTGTGGCCCTTATTTGGTCCTTATTTTCTGGGTGCGATAATGGTATTGTGGTTGGTTTTTTACAAAGTTCTCATCTGTTAAAGACATATACCAAAGTATTTATAAGTGAAATGATGTGATATTTGGGACTATGGCTTTAAAATTTCACAAGAAGTCGGGATGCCTGGGTGGCTCAGTCGGTTAAGTGTCTGCCTTCGGCTCAGGTCATGATCCCAGGATCCTGGGATCGAGTCCCATATTGGGCCCCCAGCTCAGTGAAGCGCCTGCTTCTCCCTCTGCCTGCCACTCCCCCTGCTTGTGCGCACTCTCTCTCTCTCTGACAAATAAATAAAATCTTAAAAAAAAAAGAAAAACTTCACAAGAAGAAAGTGTTAAGAAAAGATGAAACAGGAATGCCAGAAAATGTTACTTGTTGAAGCTGAGTGATGGACACAGAGATTCATTATGCTATTTTTTTCTTTTTCTTTTTTTTTTTTTTTAAAGATTTTATTTATTTATTTGACAGAGAGACACAGCGAGAGAGGGAACACAAGCAGGGGGAGTGAGAGGGGGAGTGAGAGAGGGAGAAGCAGGCCTCCCGCTGAGCAGGGAGCCCGATGCGGGACTCGATCCCAGGACCCTGGGATCATGACCTGAGCCGAAGGCAGGCGCTTAACTGACTGAGCCACCCAGGCGTCCCTCATTATGCTATTTTTTTCTGCTTTCTATAAACTTGAAATTTTATAATAAACAGTTTAAAAATATACACGCTAAGACAGTAGCATCACAATTTACATTTTACCAATAGAAAAATACAAGAGTGACTTGCTCAAGATCACAGAATATTTGGAGCCACTTATCACGGTAACACTCACTAGAAACGAGGACCAGCAATTATCAGTCCTCAATTCTAAACACACAGTATACCTTTTTTTCTTTATAATTCCAAAGGTAGGCAAAAGTAGACTGCACTCTTCAAAAGTGCCAGTATCGGGGCGCCTGGGTGGCTCAGTCATTAAGCGTCTGCCTTCGGCTCAGGTCATGATCCCAGGGTCCTGGGATCGAGCCCCGCATCGGGCTCCCTGCTCGGCAGGGAGCCTGCTTCTCCCTCTCCCTCTGCTGGTGCTCTTTCCCTCTCTCTTTCTCTCAAATAAATAGAAATAAAATCTTAAAAAAACAAAAAAACAAAAATACCAGTATCATGAAAGACTGAGGAACTGTTCCGTATCAAAGAGAAATGACAATTAAATACTATATTTTTTCCTGGATTGGAAAAAAAAAAAAAAGGTTGCTATAAAGAACAATATTGGAACAATCAGCAAAATCTGACTATGAACTATATATTAGATAACAGCACTATTATCAATGTTAAATTCCCCGAATTTCATTACTGCAATGAGGTAATATAAGAGCACGTCTCTGGGCTTAGTTGAAATCCATATTCAAATATTTAAAAGTAAAGGGTCATGGTCTCTACAACTTACTCTCAAATGTTCTGGAAAAAGAAAAGAATAAGGACAAATGTCTATATTACTGTCTTATAGATTAAATATATACATATATCTCTATATTTCTATATAGAGAGATAAATATAGTAAAATATTAACAGTGGGTGAATTTCAATGGTTTACAAGAGTTTGTTTTAATGGTCTTGCAGTATTTATATATGTCTGCAATTGTTTCAAAAAAGTTTAAATTGGCAAGATTACTGAAGTAACAAAACTTAAGAACTCATGGGGAAACACCCAATTAGCCAAATTAGCTAATCCTGTTAAATATCACTTTTTTGCACCCTAAGTAGTAGGAATGTAAGGTGAATTGTGAAGGAATGAAGGGAGGAAGGGCAGAAGAGAGAAAGAAGGAAGGAAAGAAGGAAGAGAGGAAGAGAGGGATGGAGGGAGAGTTAGGCTATATGCTGCTGTGAATAGCCACCATCAACTGTAAAGTTAAGTTTTCATAAATTATCTTACCTTAATCCACACTGTCTCATTGATAAAACTGAATGGTATGGATGGATTATCTGGTGTCTGCTTGTTTAGAATGCTGAAATTAACCGACTCTTTGGCAATTCGGGGTGGAGTCCCAGTCTTCAATCTTCCCACCACAAACCCCAACTTCTCCAGAGTCTGAGCCAACCCAATGGAAGGCTGATCCCCTAAACGCCCTGCCGGATGTGTCTCCAGTCCAATTACAATCACGCCTCTCAGGAACGTCCCAGTAGTCAGAACCACACTCTCTGCATGTACTGTGCTTCCATCCGCTAAAGGATAAGAAAGAGTAAAAATTGTGACCTGTTACCATGGATCTAATTGAAATGTGACCATTTTACATTAGAACTACAGAGAAAATTTGTCTTCAGAAACTTGAGAAAGAATTTTAAATAAGTTAGAAGACTGTATGTTATTAATACCAAGAATCCAAGACTGCTGGGAGAGAGAACACAGTAACATATAATAACTAATTCACATGTTCCTAAAATCATGTCAGTACTGAAAAGGTAGTCTCAGTTAATTTTTAAAATTAATTTTAGACTCCTGGTTAAATATGACAGACTACCTCACATGATCTCTTTTCTTTTTTAAAGATTTTATTTATTTAACAGAGAGAGACACACAGCAAGAGAAGGAACACCAGCAGGGGGAGTGGGAGAGGGAGAAGCAGGCTTCCCACTGAGCAGGAAGCCCGATATGGGGCTCGATCCCAGCACTCTGGTATCATGACCTGAGCTGAAGGTAGACGCTTAACGACTGAGCCACCCAGGCGCCCCCCTCACATGATTTCTTCTCCCTCCTAAAACTCCAAGAAGATGAAATAAAGGGGCAAAAAAAGGTATAAACCCAAAAGGACAAGTAATGGGAGAGAACTTGTCAAAAGATGAGGACTCTCAAAATATTTTCAGAAGACAGAAAGCAGATGGAAGAGCAATAACTGATCCAGCAGAGGGGAGAAGGATGTAACTCAAGAATATGAGGAGAACGTACCAATGAGAATGAAATAACTTGCCCTCAAAGCCTGCAAACTGGAGAACTGAGAATGAGAACTGAGGAATGTAGGAACAAAGGTTGGGCCTGAAAACGAGAGAAATAGTTAAGTCTATATATAAAGGTTTTGTGTGTAGACAGACCTATCTTATAGGAAAATGTTAGGCTTAATCTTTGGGTAATGGGGAGTTACTGTTTAGTGGGTAGAGTTTCAGTTTAGGATGATCAAGTAGTTCTGGAAATGGGTGGTGGTAACAGCTGCATAACATTGTGAATGTACCTAATGGTATTGAATTGTACACTTAAAAATGGCAAAAAAATTTTTTTTTAAGATTTTATTTATTTGACAGAGAGAGACACAGTGAGACAGGGAACAGAAGGAGGGGGAGTGGGAGAGGGAGAGGGAGAAGCAGACTTCCCGCGGAGCAGGGAGCCCGATGTGGGGCTCGATCCCAGGACCCTGGGATCATGACCCAAGCCAAAGGCAGTCACTTAACCAACTGAGCCACCCAGGTGCCCCCAAAAATAGCATTTAAAGTTATTAAATTAAGTAACAGAAGTATAAACAAATTAAAGGTATAAAGGTCTGCACTAAGAAAAACAATATAATCATTAAATCTGGAGAGGAAAGGAGGAAGGGGAGAGAAAAGGAAATGAAAATAAAACTAATTCAGTAACTATTCAGAGAGGAAAGCCAGTAAACACTGACAGAAGAAAGAGAAGATAAAGCACATTATATAAAATCAGTTACTAAACTAATCACCAGAACAAAAACACAAACTTAAGGGTGCCTGGGTGGCTCAGTCAGTTAAGCGTCTGCCTTCGGCTCAGGTCATGATCCCAGGGTCCTGGGATCGAGTCCCGCATCAGGCTCCCTGCTCGGCAGGAAGCCTGCTTCTCCCTCTCCCGCTCCCCCTGCTTGTGTTCCCTCTCTTGATGTCTCTCTCTCTGTCAAATAAATAAATAAAATCTTTTAAAAAAAAACAAAACTTATGGGGCGCCTGGGTGGCTCAGTCGTTAAGCATCTGCCTTTGGCTCAGGTCATGATCCCAGGGTCCTGGGATCGAGCCCCACATCAGGCTCCCTGCTCAGCGGGAAGCCTGCTTCTCCCTTTCCCACTCCCCCTGCTTGTGTTCCCTCTCTCACTGTCTCTTTCTCTGTCAAATAAATAAATAAAATCTTTAAAAAAAAAAAAAAACTTAAAAAAAGAAATAGCTCCCAAAAGCAAAGACACAGATTAAGTGGCTAAAAAAAAAACAACAGGGGGCGCCTGGGTGGCTCAGATGGTTAAGTGTCTGCCTTCGGCTCAGGTCATGATCCCAGGGTCCTGGGATCGAGTCCTGCATCGGGCTCCCCGCTCTGTGGGAAGCCTGCTTCTCCCTCTCCCACTCCCTCTGCTTGTGTTCCCTCTTTCGCTGTGTCTCTCTCTGTCAAATAAATAAATAAAATCTTTTTTTTTTTAAGATTTTATTTATTTATTTGAGACGGAGAGAATGAGAGAGACAGAGAGCACATGAGAGGGGGAAGGGTCAGAGGGAGAAGCAGGCTCCCTGCCGAGCAGGGAGCCCGATGCGGGACTCGATCCCGGGACTCCAGGATCATGACCTGAGCCGAAGGCAGTCGCTTAACCAACTGAGCCACCCAGGCGCCCAATAAATAAAATCTTTTAAAAAAAATTTTTTTTAAATAAAAAATAAAAAAACAACAACAGTACAGAACAGTGTGGGTAATATGCTATCGCTATGTGATAAAATACAAATATATCCGTATGCATGAAAATACGTATATATACAGATGGAGAGACTACACAAGAAACTAGAAATGTTCCTGAGGAAGAAAACTGATTGGCTGGGGGACAAGATGAGAAAGAGACCACTTTTCACTACAGATTCTTTTGTCCACTTTAAACTGTTTACCATGTGGGGCGCCTGAATGGCTCAGTTGTTAAATGTCTGCCTTTGGCTCAGGTCATGATCCCAGGGTCCTGGGATCGAGCCCCGCATCAGGCTCCCTGCTCAGCAGGAAGCCTGCTTCTCCCTCTCCCACTCCCTCTGCTTGTGTTTCCTCTCTCGCGTGCTCTCTGTCTCTCTCTGTGTCAAATAAATAAAATCTTAAAAATAAATAAATAAATAAAATGTTTACCATGTATATGTATTCCCCATTCAAAAAAATTAATAAATCTATAATATAAATTACTTTCAAAACAGGGGAATTAAGTCAAGAACTGTATTTTAAATGATGAGATTTTCTATCACAGTCCTCTTACCATTTTGTTCCCAGAATGCCAGCAGGCAGCCATATTAGCCCCCTTGGCAGAAGACTGATTCTTTTACTAAATCAGTCATTGATGTTTGGTAGCTCACCAACAAAAAGGCCAGTCCAACCCCTAATCACCAGATTATAGAGTAGGGCAAGAAATAAAATTTAACTGTGCACATGCAAATCTTCCAGTATTTTACTGTCTCATTTAAAAATCTGAGAGCCTAGGGGCTCCTGGGTGGTACAGTCGGTTAAGCATCTGACTCTTGGTTTCAGCTCAGGATGTGATCTAAGGGTCCCAAGATCAAGCCCCACGTCAGACTCTGTGTTCAGTGTTGAGTCTGCTTGAGAGTCTCTCTCCCTTTCCCTCTCCTGCTTCTGCTCGTTTTCTCTCTAAAATAAATAAATCTTTTAAAAAATAAATAACAATAAAAAGAAATAAAAATAAAAACCTGACAGCTGAAGTTCCCTAGACACTTGAGGAAGGCCATGTACATGAAAATAAGCAGCCAAATAAACAGAATAAAGAATCTGGAGAAAACACCACATAGATCAAAGGAAACTTCAAAAATCGATAATTAAAATCCTTATGTGGGGCGCCTGGGTGGCTCAGTCGTTAAGCGTCTGCCTTCGGCTCAGGTCATGATCCCAGGGTCCTGGGATCGAGTCCCACATCAGGCTCCCTGCTCCGCGGGAAGCCTGCTTCTCCCTCTCCCACTCCCCCTGCTTGTGTTCCTGCTCTCACTATGTCTCTCTCTGTCAAATAAATAAATAAAATCTTTAAAAATAAATAAATAAATAAATAAAATAAAATCCTTATGTGGATTAAAGAAGATATTAAATTCAGAAACAAAACAAGATGCTAAGAAACAATCAGAAAAAAGGACACTTTATAAATGAAAATACGGTCAAATTTAGAAAAATTCATTACAAGGATTTGGACAGTAAATTTAAGGAAGTCTTCTAAGAAAGTGTGTCAAAATGACAAAAAAATAAAAATAGAAGAAGCCCAGAAGACCAATCCAGAAAGGGACAGGAGTTACAGAAAGAAAGCATGGAGAAATAATAGAAGAAAATATGCAGATCAAGGACAGATTACCAGATTAAAAGAGAACAGTTAGTATCCCACCATAATGAATGAACAAAGAGCAGTCTAAACTACTTTCAAATTTCAGAACACCAAAGACAAACACAAGATCCCAGCTTTTAGAAAGGAAAAAACCTTTCATATACAAAAAAATGTAAATATGCATTGAGCTTTTTTTTATTGTTGGTTTTTGTTTGTTTTTTAGTAGGCTCCACACCCAGCATAGAGCCCAATGTGGGGCTTTGAACTCACAACCCTGAGATCAAGGCCTGAACTGAGATCAAGAGTCAGACACTTAACCAACTGAACCACCCAGGCACCCCAAGCTTTTTTTCTTTTTTAAAGATTTTATTTTTTCTACTCCATACTGATGTAAAAAAATTTTTATGTAAATTTTAGTTAGTTAACATACAATGCAATATTGGTTTCAGGAGTAGAATTCAGTGATTCATCACTTGCATACAACACCCAGTGCTCATCACAAGTGTCCTCTTTAATAGTCATCACCCATCTAGCCTATCCCCACCCACCTCCCTCCATCCAACCCTCAGTTTGTACTGTATGGTTAAGAGTCTCTTACGGTTTGTTTCTCTCTCTCCTTCCCCCACCACATATGTTCATCTGTTTTTTTTTTTTAATTTTATCTTATTTATTTTTTAAATTTTTTTTGTTTAAAGATTTTATTTATTTTTTAGTTTTTATTTATTTATTCGAAAGAGAGAGCAAGAGAGCCCAAGCAGAGGAAGCAGCAGAAGGAGAGGGAGAAGCAGGCTCCCTGCCGAGCTGGGAGCTCAATGCAGGTCTCGATCCCAGGAGCCCGGGACCATGACCCAAGCAGAAGGCAGACACTTAAACCATCTGAGCCACCCAGGTGCCCCTAAAGATTTTATTTTTAAACAATCTCTATACCCAATATAGGGCTCAAACTCACAACCCCAAGATCAAGAATCGCATGCTCTGACTGAGCCAGCCAGGTGGCCCAAATATACACTGAGCTTTTTAATAGCAAAACTGGAAGCTAAAAGATAATGGAACAAGACCGTCAAAATTCTCAGAAAAAAAATTTTAACTAAAATTTTATTCTCAGACAAATTAAGTGTCAAGTAAGGGGAGACATTTTGAGATATGCTTAAACACAAATAAACCGCCTTCCTTGCTTCTTTTCTTAGGAAGCTACTGGGAAGATATGCTCCAGCAAAATGAGGCAATAAGAAAGAACAAGACTGAAGTCTCAAGAAACATGGGATGATGTAACACAGCATAGTAGTAAAAGGAAGGCTCAAAATAACATCTGTGCAGAGGTCCTAGAGAGCAACTGTCCTGATTATAGCAGATTGCCTGCGGGGGCGGGGGGGGGATTGAGGAAGTTGATGTCTCTGGGAGGGAAGTATCAAAGAAAAAGCAGAATTTACAGATTACTTGACTATTGAGAAAATGGCAGGTTTTTTCCCCTTTGTTTTTTTTTAAGATTTTATTTATTTATCTGACAGAGAGAGACATAGCGAGAGAGGGAACACAAGCAGGGAGAGTGGGAGAGGGAGAAGCAGGCTTCCCGCCGAGCAGGGAGCCCCATGCTGGGTTTGATCCCAGGACCCTGGGATCATGACCTGAGCCGAAGGCAGATGCCTAACGACTGAGCCACCCAGGTGCCCCGACAGTTTTTTTTCCCTAATGAAAAAGCTGAACAAGTCCATAAGTAAAATTAGCAAATTAAAAATAAAGCAAATATTAACCAAAGGCAAAGAAAAGAGGTTTATGAAAGGAAACAAACATAGCACACTATTTGGATCTGTAGTGAACAATATTTAATCGTAATATATAACAATATAATCATAATAATATAAATACTATCAGTCAAAATTGATAGCATAATTACATTAGAAGGATAGAGAGAAGGGTGCCTGGGTGGCTCGGATGGTTGGGAGTCTGACTGTGGCTCAGGTCACAATCTCTAGGTCCCGGGATCAAGCCTCATGTCGGGCTCCCAGCTCAGCGGGAAGTCTGCTTCTCTCTCTCCTTCTGCCTTTTCCCTTGATTATGCTCTCTCTCTCAAATGAATAAATAAAATCTTAAAAAAAAAAAAAGGATAGAGAGAATGAAAGTACGGGATTAAAGAGAGCTACTATAAAAAATTAATAATGTCTAATACTGATAATTTAGGGAGTACAAATATAAGCATATTACTTAGAAATATGTAAGTACATATCAAAAGTGAAACTGAAGTGGTTAAGTCTATAAAGAGATAACTGTTTTTCATATGAACTTTTAAATTCTATTTGATTTTTGCAAAAGTTATGTGCATGTATTATTTTGATTAAAAAATTAATTCATGGGGCGCTTGGGTGGCTCAGTTGGTTGAGCGTCTGACTCTTGATTCCGGCTCAGGTCATGATCTCAGGGTCGTGAGATCAAGCCCCACGTGGGGCTCTGCACTGGGCATGGAGCCTGCTTAAGATTCTTTCTTCCGGGTGCCTGGGTGGCTCAGTTGGTTAAGCGACTGCCTTCGGCTCAGGTCATGATCCTGGAGTCCCGGGATCGAGTCCCGCATCGGGCTCCTTGCTCAGCAGGGAGTCTGCTTCTCCCATTGACCCTCCCCCCTCTCATGCTCTCTCTCTCAAATAAATAAAATCTTTAAAAAAAAAAAAAAAAGATTCTTTCTTCCTCTCCCGGTGCCCCTCCCCGTCTGTAAAAAAATTAATTCATAACTCCTTTAAATAAAAAATATATATATAACATTATATAATATAAATTTAAAAACTTAAAGTCAGGACTAGGAAAAATAAAAATTACCACAGAAGGACCAGGAGAAAAACACATTTATGTAGGTTATAAAGTACTACACTAAGATGGTATAAATGAGCCCAGAATTTGACTGAGCTTCATGAAGATCAAGATGAAAGGAGGAAAATAATTTTTTATGCAGTCTTCCTTTTCCATGAAGAGAAAACACAACCATTTCCTAGAATAAGCAAAACATCTCCATCCTGCTCTAAAATTAATTGTTCACATGGAGTCTGATACTGTTATTATCATCTATAACAAGTACACACCTAAAACCACACCACTGACACGGCATTTCCCGGTGTGCTCAGGCTCTGGTTCTGTAAGAACAAGGTCTTCTACAGCTCCCTCCTGAACAGTAAGCAGCGGTGTATTTAGGATTTCTTTCTGTCAAAGAGAACACAGGTTGAAACCTAACAGTTAAATAAATAATCACTACAGTCTCTCCTGTTTTCCTGCCCCATCCTTACCTGCATGTTCTGCTTATAGAGTTTCCTATCAATTTGAGCTCTCAGACCCCAAACAGCCGGTCCCTTACGCCGGTTTAATACTTTGTAATGTACACCAGATTGGTCACAGATTCGAGAACACAGGCCATCCAAGGCATCAACTTCCCTCATTAAATGCCCCTTGCCAATGCCACCAAAGGAAGGATTACAGGACATCTGACCTAAGGAGAACAGACATAAAATAAATATATGAGCACCCCGTACGTAGTGAGTGTTTAATAGGGAAATGTCTGTACAAGTGATTAGAATCATCTCATGTAATAAAATTGAAGCAATCACCGGAGAGAAAATTAGAAAATCCCAATGGGATGTAAGAGTCATTCAGGGCATCTTGGGAGGCAAACCACTGACTGTAGTTTCTTTTGAATCTTTTCCTTGACACATATTTTTACTGGTTCATTAGGTTGCCTTTTCCTTTAAAACCCTTCCCCAAATCAAGCATACTTTTAAGAAGTCCCTTGGCTGTGATTCACTGTTATCATCAATTGTCTCCCATAAATGTCATCTGCTGTTTTCTTTTTGCTTATTTTGTAAAAATAATTAAATTATAAGCTTCCTGAGAGTAGAAACCGTATTTTATACCTTCTCTTTAAATTCCCCTAGTCTTATTTGGAGGTCTAAACTCATGCGGTTGAGCGCCTGGGTGGCTCAGTCGGTTAAGCGACTGCCTTCGGCTCAGGTCATGATCCCAGGGTCCTGGGATTGAGTCCCGCATCGGGCTCCCTGCTCTGCGTGGAGCCTGCTTCTCCCTCTCCCACTCCCCCTGCTTGTGTTCCCTCTCTCGCTGTGTCTCTCTCTGTCAAATAAATAAATAAAATCTTAATAAAAATAAATAAATAAATAAACTCATGTGGTTATCTCAAAGGTTTTTATGGGAGGTGGAGGGATAGGAAAGCTATGTCAACATCTGTAGGTCCACCATAGCCACCACCAAGCCCTCTGCAAGTTTTTATAGTCTCCATAAGGAGGCTGAATCGTGCTGTGATTAGAAGTATGGGTCAGGAATGAGTGAAAAGAACCTGGCTCAATTCCTAGATCTACCACTTACAAGCTCTGTCATTTTGTCAAGTTATCTAATTTTCTCTACCTCAGTTTCCCTACTGTAAAAACAAGAATGATAGCTGCAGATTATTTCCCCCCTTCCTTTGATACAGAATCACAATTTTATTTAGGCAAACACTCCCCTAGGAGGCTTTGTGTTCTGGGAATGTGACTTGAACTCAGTAGGAATAAATCTTTATTGATCTAAGTAATCATGGTAATCCCGTTTCTACTTGCCACTGTCTGGGTTAGGGATGGGAAATAAGTCATGAGGGGTGACCTATTGGGGAAGGGGGGTCTCTAAAAATGGGTTGTTTTTCCTCTTCAAAGAGATACAAGGAGGGAAAAAAACCCTTCTTAGGTTGAAGTTGTCATATCTGGATGTGACACCTGGAACTATTATAGCCATTTTGTAATCGTAAGGATAGCTAGCTTGAAGACAATTCAAGAATGGCATAATGGAGATATTCAAGGAATGAGTCCTTAGACATTGTGGGCTGCTGAATTAACCAACCCTAAAACTGACCTACCTGCAAATGTCTTATTAAAAAATAAATTCTTGGGGCAGCTGGGTGGGCTCAATTGGTTAAGGGTCTGACTCTTGATTTGGCTCAGGTCATGATCTCAGGGTCGTTGAGATTGAGCCCCATATCAGGCTCTGTGCTCAGCAGGGAGTCTGCTTGAGAGTCTCTCTCCCTCTGTCCCTCCCCCCACTCACTTTCTCTCTCTCTCTCTCAAACAAATAAAGAAGTTTAAAAAAAATAAATTCTCGGGTGCCTGGGTGGCTCAGTTGGTTAAGCGACTGCCTTCAGCTCAGGTCATGATCCTGGAGTCCCAGGATCGAGTCCCGCATCGGGCTCCCTGCTCGGCAGGGAGTCTGCTTCTCTCTCTGAACCTCCTTCCTCTCATGCTCTCTATCTCATTCTCTCTCTCAAATAAATAAATAATTAAAAAAAAATCTTTAAAAAAAAATAAAAAAATAAATTCTCCTTTTTGTTTAAATTAATCGAATAATAAGGATTTGTTACTTGCAAATGGTAGAATGTACACAAAGCAATTAGCACAGTGTCTGACACAGAATAAGCAATAAATAACATTTACTAATAATTGTTTTATTTCCCAGTGTAAAACATTTCTCAGTGTAAAATACTCTCTGCTTCTGTTTTTCACTTCTTCAAAAATCACATAATTTCTTCGAATTGGCTTTAAAAAATTTTAATCATAAATAATTTTCCATTAGCAGCAACATTTAAAAACTTTTATATGACTTTCTCACATGTAAAATATTACTATTGACATAAGTATCCCTACATGAATATCTTAGAAAAGTGCTCCATAGGGCACCTGGGTGGCTCAGTTGGTTAAGCGACTGCCTTCAGCTCAGGTCATGATCCTGGAGTCCCTGGTTCGAGTCCCGCATCGGGCTCCCTGCTCGGCGGGGAGTCTGCTTCTCCCTCTGACCCTCCCCCCTCTCATGTGCTCTCTCTCATTCTCTCTCTCAAATAAATAAATAAAATCTTAAAAAAAAAAAGTGCTCCATACATTGCATAAAATTGATAAACACAGTGAATATCCTATCATTGAATTTATATGAAAGCAACCAACTTGCATTCCTGAGTTTCTAATTCAACATATTATTTCACATACAAATGTGAAGCTATTTCTTTCTTAAAGATTTATATATTTTTTAAAGCTTTTATTTATTTGTCAGGGAGAGAGAGTACAAGCAGGGGGAATGGCAGGCAGAGGGAGAAGCAGGCTCCCTGCTGAGTAGAGAGCCCAATGCGGGACTCGATCCCAGGACCCTGGGATCATGACCTGAGTCGAAAGCAGACGCTTAACCGACTAAGCCACCCAGGTGTCCCTAAAGATTTATTTATTTGAGAGACAGAGAGAGGAAGCATGAGTTGGGGGAGGGGCAGAGGGAGAGAATCTTCAAGTAGACTCCCTGGAGTGCAGAGTCCCATGTGGGGTTTATCCCACAACCCATGAGATCATTACCTGAGCTGAACCAAGAGTCAGATGCTTAACTGACAGAGCTACCCAGGTGACCCAATGTTAAGCTATTTTATTAAAGAGTAAGAAAGAATAGTATAATGAATTCCCAGGTATCGATTCAGGTCCAATCTTACATCTTTTATAGCTCTACACACTTCCTTCTTTTCCAGACATTGTATCAACTATAAATGTTTCAGACAAAGACTTTTTTTAGAGAAAAAAAAAAACCCACAATAACTTAATCACACTTGAAATATCTGAATTATTAATGAATAATCAAAACAGAAATTAGAAATGTGAAATATCACCAAGTATAATTTTTTTTCTATTACTCTGTATCACTCTTAAGTAATCCTCTTCCAATCTTTAGACAGGATACATTTCAGATACTTTCATTTATTTATTTTTTAGATTTTATTTATTTGACAGAGAGACACAGCGAGAGAGGGAACACAAGCAGGGGGAGTGGGAAAGGGAGAAGCAGGCTTCCCGCGGAGCTGGGAACCTGATGCAGAGCTCGATCCCAGACCCTGGGGCCATGATCTGAGCCAAAGGCAGATGCTCAACGACTGAGCCACCCAGGCGCCCCTCAGATACTTTTAGATCAGAGCTCGTAACTCAGTGATTTGCTGGTGATGTTTTGCTGGGTATACATGAAGCTTTTGTTAAAAACAAACAAAACAATGGATGAGGATATACTTTCCAGCTCACCACTGTTCCCATTATTCCATGTTGTTTTACTTACTTACTTATTTATTTATCAGAGAGAGAGAGCGTGAGCAAGCACAAGCGGGGGAGCAGCAGGTAGGAGAAGCAGGCTCCCTGCCAAGCAGGCCCTTTATTGAATTACTGTACATTATATACCTATTTGTAAAACTTACACTTGTGAAAGTTACATGCAAAGAAATCTTTGTCTTTTTAAACTGCTGAAAACCTTTTCTTAAATATATTTATCAATGTTGAGCCCCTCTCCTTACAGCCATAAAAGTTGAACATGCCACTTTTCTTTTGCTTAGCCCTCAAGATCTTTTCTACATAGAACTCCAGGAAACTATCCTTCATTCCCAATCACGTGGAGTTGGAACAAGAAAGTCTATTTGTCATCTGTGTTCTTAGGTAGACTACTAACATCCCAAGTGTGGTACTTGGGGTTGGCAATGGTAATAAAAATGTATAAATCAGTCCATTTTTCACTCTACTAAAAAATTTAAGTTGGCTATGTGGAAAAGCTTATGGTAAAAAAATAGTTTAACATCTGAACCACTTAATGGGTCAGGCACTGTTCCAGATTATTTGCATGTATTTTCTGATTTAAACTTTACAGCAAACTGAAGTTGGTACTGTTATTTCTATTTCATAGAGAAAGAAACTGAGGGTTAAATAAATTGTCCCTTGTCCAAGGTCACACAGCTAGAACTCAGTGAAGCCTGGACTGAAATTCAGAATGTCAAACAATCTCTTTAATGTTGAACATTTCCATGAAATGCATAGGTAATAAGACACAGAATAAACAGATGCACAAGGCTTTTCTCTTTCATTGTGAAATGCAAAAATAGTTGGCAAAAAAACATTATTTTCCAGGTTAGTAGAAAATAAAAGACTTTCCGCCTCTCATTTCATTATTGGTACATGATAATGACTAAATCACAACGGGACAATTCTTGCCTTTTGCATTCTTAGGTCCATTGAACCTTCTAAGTCAAAGCTATCTTTCTGAGGCCACGTAGAAATATTTAAGATACTCCACTATAGGGCGCCTGGGTGGCTCAGATGGTTAAGCGTCTGCCTTCGGCTCAGGTCATGATCCTAGAGTCCTGGGATTGAGTCCCGCATCAGGCTCCCGGCTCAGCGGGGAGCCTGCTTCTCCCTCTGACCCTCTCCTCTCTCATGCTGTTTCTCTCTCGCTCGCTCTCTAAAAAATAAATAAAATCTTAAAAAAAAAAAAAAAGATACTCCACTATATTAAATTACCACACAAAAGAGATTTTGATTCAAAACAAAATTGTCACTTACTAAGCTCATCTATAAGACTTATTATCTCTGAAATGCATTTATTTAAAAATAAAACGGATTGAACTGTGTTGGTAGAATAATATGAATATGGATTTTGATAAGTATCCCTTTATCCCTCACAGAACTACATTACTTATATTTAATGACCTTAGTTCAATAATACTTTTTTCATTAAATTTTTAAGTTATTATTGAAAAGTAGTATCCCGCCTTTTTTTTTTTTTATGTAAACAACACTGAAATGTATAATAAACAAAGTGTAATCTTTTGGGTAATCAAATCACCCCCAGGGTCGCCTAGGTGGCTCAGTCGTTAAGCGTCTGCCTTCAGCTCAGGTCATGATCCCAGGGCCAGAAGCCTGCTTCTCCCTCTCCCACTCCCCTTGCTTGTGTTCTCTCTCTCCCGCTGTGTCTCTGTCAAATAATAAATAAAACCTTAAAAAAAAAAAAAATCAAATCACCCCCCTCTAAAAGAATCACTGTTAACAGTGTATATTTCTCCACAGTTACAAGCTGAATGGTAATTCTTAAAAAAAGTATTTCAGTATCAAATATGTGATTTATTCACAATTTTTGCAAAACAGTTAATATTTCTACTGTTGACTCCTGAGCTAAATGCAGGAGGAAAAAAACATAGGTTTGCATGATTTACAAGATGATGTTTTAGCTAGCATCTATTATGGTGCTAGAGAGAGGTGTTGCTTTAAATTATAGCCATCCACCCATTGCCTATTAAGTGCGAAAAAAGCACTGCCAGTTCCTGAGTACAAAATTAGGAAACAAACACCAAGTAGAGATATAGAATGCAATAAAAAGTAGCATCGTTCTTCAAAAGGGCTTCACAAAATCTCGGAAAAATACAACAGTCGTTTAACAAGTAATTCCTAGTAAATGTTAATTCACTCCATTTCCAAAGCAACAAGCTAGTAAAGGGTAAATGACAACAACGAAGTAAGAAGCTATCAGCTTGTTTTCTTAGTTTCCCCCTTTCCCAAGGCACGGACCCCAACTCCCTCCACTACTTCTGTCAGCAGCAGCACAATACATGGTCCACGTAACAGCCTAATCCAGGGTTCTGGGCCAGGGCTACCTGATCTGTGAAACTCACGTTAGGATAAAACCACAGACACTAGGATTCTCACTAGCTTGCGGAGAGGAGAGGCTGCCCGTATCAGGCCACCGGGAAGGGGTGAAGGGGCTTACTGGCAGCTTGCGTCCTACGCCAAGCTCCACGCTACCCGAACTCCTCACCGATCGTGTCCACGCGGTGGGTGAGTAGCAGAGTCCGGGAGCCGCACCGAGCAGCAGCGGCGGCTGCCTCGGCCCCGGCATGTCCTCCGCCAATGACTACCACGTCAAAGTTCGCAGCCACGGGCGCCGCGCTGTCGCCGATGAACCGGGCCAACGGAAGGTGCTTTTTGCTGAGGGAAGCCGCGACACAGAGACCACAACCTCGGAGAGAAAACATAGCTGGAGAAAGGCAGAGTCTGACCCTGAACCTGACATGAACTAGGCGCAAAAACTTAGGATAGGAAGAAAAGGCTTCAGGGCGCAGCCATCTTGGCTCTGATGTCACAGCGTAGCAGTTTACGTCCAGCGTCAGCGCTGATTGGGGCTTTGGCGCGACTTCACTGGAGAAGCGAGACCGGGTAACTGTGCAGGTGGCCCAGATGGGGTGAACCTTGTTTCATGGTCCCGGGAGGCCTCTGATGACATATGGCTGTGAATCGATGGCTCCTGCTTGGACATTTTCTGTCCTTTTCGCGATTGGCAGCCCTAATCTCCAGTTGGTCACCTACAGACAATGATTTTAATCACTTTGCCTTATAAGATTCTTTGAATTTTCTGGTAAACTATCACCTGGACTTCTGTTTGTTTATAAAGACTAGCCTCTGAATAGGAGAAGCTTTGAAAGCAGTTAAAATGTATTTGTGGATGAAAGATTCATGATGGCCAATTAGGGGAATCAAATGGTTGAAGATTAAATGTCCAGCCTTTGGAAATTGACTTTTTTGGGGGGGGGGGCACATTTTTAAAGCCTTCCTTAGAGAGGAAACCTTTAACTGGTTAGTGAAACAACCCATGTGGTAGTTTTAGTCAAATGATTATTAAAATCTATCAAATAGAAATGGAAAACTTTGAGACTTAAAGAAGCTATAACTTCGTCAGCCCTCCTGATCCCCACCTCTGTAATTATTGTCAGCATTTTTTTGCTAATGTTTCCTAGGGTTTTTTTGTTTGTGTTTTTTTAAGGATTTTATTTATTTGTCAGAGAGAGAGAGAGCACAAACAGGGGATGGCAGGCAGAGGGAGAAGCGGCTAAGGGAAAAGCAGGCTACCTGTTGAGCAAGGAGCCCAATGCAGGACTGGATCCCAGGAGCCTGGGATCATGACCTGAGCTGAAGGCAAATGCTTAACGGATTGAGCCACGCAGGTATGCCGCCTCCTAGTTTTTTTTATACAACTACTCATGCTATTATTATTTTGCACATATAACACTGATTATATTATTTTTCAGTTTGCTTTTTTTTTTTTTTTTAAGATTTACTTATTTGAGAAAGAGAACATGCATGCATGGGGGGAGGGGCGGGGGGAGAGGGAGAAAATCCTCAAGCCGACTTCCTGCTGAGTGTGGAGCTGGATCTCACAACCCTGAGATCATGACCTGAGCTGAAACAAAGAGTCCCATGCTCAAACGACTGAGCCACCCAGGCACCCCAGTTTGCTCCTCTTTTTAACAATGTATTTTTTACTCTATGCCATATGTATATGAATCTATTACATTTTAGCTGTAATTTATTTAATCAACTCCCAATTACTGGGCATTTGGATTGTTTTTAATTTTTTTATATTATCATCATCCTTGTACATATATCTCTTTTTAAATTTATGGGACTCTTTCTATAAATGAAGATACTGGGTAAAAGGATTCCTCAGTGTTTATATTTTTGATAACGGCTGAATTAGCTTTCTGAAAGCTTTGTGTCAGGTTGCATTAACAGTGTAAGACTATTTCATTATACTGTAGCCAAGACTGGATTTTTAATTAAGTTTTAAGTATAAATGTCAAGAAGATGGACACTTTATATGTGAATGCTTTTTTCCCTTCACAGCCCTTTCTTGATATACTTTCTTTACCTGTCTTCCAAGACATCATCAAGCTATTCTGGTTTTCCTCCTATTTTTTCTGGCTACTCCTTCTCATTTTTCTGGTTCCTCCTCCTTGAGTGCTCAAGCCCAAGTGCACAACAAAACCAATTCCCAAATCCCGTCTTTAGGCCTCTATCTCCTGGGACCACTCTCAGTACTAACTCTGTAGCAGTCTGGGTCCAGTCAGAATATGGAATCACATAGTAGGACACCTGGGTGGCTCAGTTGGTTAAGCCTTTGCCTTCACCTCAGGTCATGATCCCAGAGTCCCAGGATCGAGTCCCACATAGGGCTCCCCACTCAGCGGGGAGTCTGCTTCTCCCTCTGACCTTCCCCCATCTCATGCTTTCTCTCTCTCACTCTCTGTCTCAATTAAATAAATAAAACCTTAAAAAGAAAAAAAGAATCATATTGTAGATATTTAATATAAGAATAATTAACTATTGGGGCGCCTGGGTGGCTCAGTCGTTAAGCGTCTGCCTTCGGCTCAGGTCATGGTCCCAGGGTCCTGGGATCGAGCCCCACATCAGGCTCCCTGCAGAAGCCTGCTTTTCCCTCTCCCACTCCCCCTGCTTGTGTTCCCTCTCTCGCTGTGTCTCGCTCTGTCAAATAAATAAATAAAATCTTAAAAAAAAAAAAGAATAATTAACTATATTGGGGTACCTGGCTGGCTCAGTTGGTAAGAGCATGCAACTCTTGATCTTGGGGTTGTGAGTTCAAGCCCCATGTTGGGGATAGAGGTTGCTTAAACAAACAAATACTTCACTCTAAAAAAAAAAAAATAATAACTATAATAAAAGAAATAACATATAAAGAAACTATATATGGTACCCTAGGGCTGAGGGAGAGTATCCAAGTAAGAATAAATTCAAAAGGGGTTCAGATCGCAAGTGCAGAAGGCCTTCAGAGAGTATGGGCTACATAACAGAGGGGGCTTACAAAGAGAGCAGTGGCTCTCTGTGGACCTCCTCAGCCACAGGCAGGCTGCACACAAGGCTTATAGAAGGATCAACTTCTTGGTGTGTGACCTTCTGGACCACAGGCCGGGCAGGAATTTGATTTCCCTGTCTAGTAAGTTGTAGATGGGTTATGGCTGGGCCAAGGTGGCAAGGTCCCAGAGGGATCACTTTCTGGGCCTACAGTTGGGGTAGGCCCTACTAGATGTTCTCACATCTACGAGTCTGACCTTTGCCGTGCAATCCCCTTCCACTCCTTCCACTGTGTTGGAAATTGCAGGAAACCTCTTCCTCCTACATAGTCCTTCTGCAACCTCTATTGACAAAGGTTAACATAGTGGGCACTTTGAAAGAACTGCTTAAAGGAATTCTGTTGTTTATCAGACAGCATATATTGAGGGGTGTATTAAGTCCTTGTCTGAGAAGCAATAAGTTTGTAACTGACACAACATCTCAAACTTCACAAGCTCCAGCCATACTTGCTGTTGTTTGAACAACTAGGCATAGTCTCCCCTTAGATCCTTTGTATAAACTTTTCCTTTGTATTTACTTTTCCCTGAAATTGGTTTGCTTGAGAACAAGCCTGACTACACAATAGTCCTCCTTCCATTTTACAACAACAAAAATAAATAAATACAGATTTCTCACATCACATTTCAAACTAGGGCTCATTGCCCTGGGGTGTTAAAAAAAAAAAAACAAAAAACTTTTGTATCAGAGGATGTATCAAAATATTGGTTTTAGGAAAACCTTTTTAAAAGAGTAATCAAGGCATTTTTGTCCATTGACAGATGAATGGCTATCAAAATGTGCTATATACTTTCAGTAGAAATATCGAGTCTTTTTTTTTTTTAAAGATTTTATTTATTTGACAGAGAGAGACACAGCGAGAGAGGGAACACAAGCAGGGGGAGTGGGAGAGGGAGAAGCAGGCTTCCTGCGGAGCAGGGAGCCCGATGTGGGGCTCGATCCCAGGACCCTGGGATCATGACCTGAGCCGAAGGCAGACGCCCAACGACTGAGCCACCCAGGCGCCCCGAAATATCGAGTTTTAAAAAGGAAGGCTGACAGGGGCACCTGGGTGGCTCAGTTGGTTGGGCGGCTGACTCTTGATTTCAGCTCAGGTTATGTATGACCTCAGGGTCTTGGGATCAATCCCCGAGACAGGCTTGGTACTCCGTGAGGAGTCAGCTTGAGGATTCTCTCTCTCTCTCTCCCTCTGCCCAACCCCCCCATGCTCGCTCATTCTCTCTCAAATAAATAAATAAATCTTAAAAAAAAAAAAGAAAAGAAAGAAAAGGAAGGCTGACATATGCTACAATATGGATAAACCCTGAGGACATTATCTTAAATGAAATAAGCAGTCACAAAAGGACAAATATATCATTCCACTTAGATGAGTTACCTAGAGTAGTCAAATTCATAGAGAAAGTAGAAGGGTGGTTGCCAAGGGAGAGGGAGGGAATGGGGAGTTATTGTTTAATGGGTAGAGTTTCAGTTTTACAAGATGAAGAGCTGGGGAGATGGATGGTGGTGATGGTTGCACAATATTAATTATTTAATGTCACTGGACTGTACACCTAAAAATGGTTAGGATGGTTTTTAAAAAAAAGTAATCAAGGCATCTAAACCCAGGGGTTTCCTATCTAATATGTATTTCTGTAAAGGGATTGGCTTTAGAAATAGATATTTGAAAGCCTATATGGAGAACTCTGGAATCACAAGGGCCCAAACAGCATGAATTATTTAAAATATAAGTGCCGGGCGCCTGGGTGGCTCAGTTGGTTAAGCGACTGCCTTCGGCTCAGGTCATGATCCTGGAGTCCCTGGATCGAGTCCCGCATCAGGCTCCCTGCTCGGCAGGGAGCCTGCTTCTGCCTCTGACCCTCCCCCCTCTCATGTGCTCTCTCTCTCTCATTCTCTCTGTCTCAAAAAAAAAAAAAAAAAAAAAAATTTAAAATATAAGTGCCATTTTTTGATGGGCTTTTGAGAACCAATGGATAAAACTCACAGATAGGAACTTCTACACAGGGACGCCTGGGTGGCTCAGTCAGTTAAGCAACTGCCTTTGGCTCAGGTCATGATTCCAAGGTCCCGGGATTGAGTCCCTGCATTGGGCTCCTTGCTCAGTGGGAGACTGCTTCTCCATCTCCCTCTGCTAGCTGCACCCCCTGCTTGTGCTCTTTCTGACAAATAAGTATATAATGTTTTTTAAGTCTTTAAAAAAAAAAAAACTTCTACACAATTTAAGACTGTATGTGCTTTTACAAAGTCAAATAAAATGAAATCTTTATTCCAATTGCAGTCAGTCCTCATTTCATTTCCACCTTGTAAAAGTTGGACATTTTCTATTTCTCGTTAATTTAAAAAGTACCCTTACTTAAACTTACACTTAAAAAATTTCTCTGTCAGGGCGCCTGGGTGGCTCAAGTCAGTTAAGCATGTGCCTTAGGCTCAGGTAATGGTCTCAGCCTGGGATTGAGCCCT